TATGCTTTTGGATGGCTTGTCTTCTGTCCCAGGCCTGGCCGTACCAGCTCATGGCAGGCCTGTTTGTTTCCTCGGAGTGCCGTCTGCACTGCGGTCGAGAACCTCGAGACGGCGTGTCGCTCCGCCATTTTCTGCCCCGCCACGTTTCGGCGCGACGCGCTTGGCACTCCCTGGCACCCGAGCATCCACGTCCCGAGTTTTTGTCCGAGCCTCCCTTCTTGCAGGTCGGAGCGACACGTTATCCTCTCGCAAGGCATGGCGTGTGGCCAGGGCTGCCGCCACGACAGGCCAGAGTCTGAGAGTAGATGAGAACGTGCCGATGTAGCGTCGATTTGCGCCGATGTAGCGTCGGTGAGCGTCGCTTAGCGTCGACCAGGGTCGATTCGCAAGAGCAGCAAGATGACACGTGAGGCCCCCATGAGTTGCCAAAACACTTATGCGAGCTGGTGCACTCGTCTTTGCCTCCTGTGCCGAGTTCGCGATCTCACGGCCCGGCTTGCTGATTCGACCGCGTCGAGAGTCCGCCAGCGTTGGGGCTCGGGATAGATACGAGCATAAAACACAACACACGTTGCCGTTAGGAGTCCATCAGTGTTTCACTCCTCCGTATCTTCAGCAGGAACACGCGGATGGGCTCCCCACGGCAGAGTATCATTGATATCGTGCTAATTCTCCCAGCAGCCAAACAGTACGGGTTAGTGCACTCAACGTCGCCTCATGTCCCCGATGCGTGATCCCGTAGCCTGCCGGCCACGAGAGTCCGCCGGGGCTGCGACTCGAGAGGGGAAAAGAGCCCTGCCCGTCGCCCGTCATGCTCAATCGCCTCACTATGGCTGCCACTCTGGTGCAGAAGCTGACTACGGCCTGGAAGGAGCGGAGAGAGGGAGTGAGAGAGGGAGAGGGGGTAAGGTCAGGGACAACGCCAGAGGTGATGGGCTAAGGGGGGAGCATCGACCCCCGATCGCCCCCGGATCGCCGACAGGGGTCTGATAGCCCACCCACCTCGCTATCGGAGGCTGCTGGGGAAGCCGCTCCCGATGCCGCTACTCCAAGGACCTCTCTTGGGGTGCTTTCTGACCAGAATTTGGAGGTGAATCACGCGTTGGCGACGGGGGCCTCCCAGGAGGCCCCCAAAGGGGACAACGGGCGAAGGGGTAGAGGCATGGGTACTCTTTCCTCCTCATCCGAGCCGTCGCCGCCGATCTGTTGGCGATGCGTCGCCGATTTCCCAGGTCGCTGTTCCCCCCACGCAGGGGCGGTTTCTCCCCCGACCGTTACCCCTCACAGAAACTGTGGCGCCGGGGCCCTCGCTGCGAACAGGGCCCTTCCAGTGATCGCTGCCTTGTTCATTGTTTTGCCGATCGGCGCAGGTCTTTGCACCCCCCCCTCTTCTCCCCCATGGAGTAGATCGTGGCTGTTCTTGGCACTACCCAATGGGCGCCCTGGGCTCCCTCGACCGCCTGTTTCAAGCAGGTGGGGCCTCCCTCCGCTAGGACGCCCTGCTGCAGACAGTCGCATTCAGCAGAGGTTCGGAGCCAGACTCCCCCATCCCCCCCTCTGCCGCCCAATGTCGAACCGCCGAACAAGAAAACGCTTACCAGTCAGACTCGTGGATGCCCATGCCAAGAAACACCCTGCTTGCCTCTGGGGCGCCCTGAATCTCTCGGGTTTTTGATGGCTGTGCTAATCATGGAAAGCGTGACGTTGCCACTCCGAAAAATCAATGTACGTCCTGGGGTCTCAGAGTGGGGTTCCCTGTGGAAGGTTTCTCTTGGTCGAGCTCCTACTGCACGGTATCTCGGCCTACCTGGGGCGGTTGATCGGCGGCCAGGGGGGCCAAAGCCATGCCAGTGAGGGCTGGGGATCTGTGAATTCAAGGACGCTCGTTGAGGCATGGGGTGCTGGATCGCCGCCCCGCGCGCAGGAGCAACAACTCCTTGGACGACACGCCCGACCTGGAAGCCAGCCCAACCCGCGCCATCGTCGAGGGGGCCCGCGCCTCGGCTCGGCGCGCGGGCGGCCCCGTCGCAAGCCGTCGGCGCGCGAGCCACGGCGCGGCGCGGAGGGGGCAGCGGTACACCGATGCCGCTGCTCGTCCTGGAGAGCCCTCGTCGCCACGGCTGGGTTCTGGCACTCCCAGGAGGGGGTCGGGGCAGGTGGGGTCGGAGGATCGCGCCGCCTCGCCGATGCCTCGGCGATGCGGCTCGATGCGGGACCCGATCTTCTCCTCACCGACGGCGCCGATTCGTCGCCGATGCATCGCCGATGCATCGCCGATGCATCGGCGATGCACCGGCGATGTGGCGCTATCCTGCGACCCCATCTACTCGGACCCCCTCCAGGAGGCCTCTGCCGTCGCCACGGCTGGATTCTACTCAAAACTCTGGTCAGACTGCGCCCCGGGAGAGTTCCGGGGAGTGGCGGTATGAGCACCTCTGTGCCTCTCCGTCCACCGCCCGAGCGTGTCCGCGTGCATCGCTTCGGAGTTGTGCCATGGCATCGCTCGAGGAGCGGTGGGCGTGGCCAGCTGCAGGCCCCGCAGGGGCGAGCAGAGCTGTCCACATCCACCGCGCTTCGAGATCCCAGGGCACGAGTCCGAAGCGGTGGAGAGTCGCACAGTCTGGCGGCACCCATGCGGCCCTGCCCCCCCCCTGCGCGTCCTGGCGGGAGGGGCAAGATCAAGAGCCATGCCGTGAAGGGACCAGTGTGCCGCCGTTCTGGGTCTGGGGAGCCGCTCGTGGAGTCTCCGGGGGGGGGGGGGGGGGCATCCTCGGGTGCGTCTTGGGGCATCCTCGGCCGTCTCGTCTGCGCTTTCCGTAGTCTTCGGAGCTTTGGGGGGGCATACGGCATACGGTCCCTCAGGGGCCCCTTGCGGGTGTTGTGAGTGTCGCCTGGGATCTGCGATTATGGGGGCAAGTTGGGGATATGGGTCGTCTTGGGCGCTCGGTGGGTAGGTCTTGGGCGCTTGTTGGGGACTCGGGTCGTCCTGGAAGCATCCCGTCGAGAAGGATGGATGGTTGCGGGCAGGTTCCCTCCTTGAAGCGACTTGCAAGCCAACGTCAAATATTGAACATGTACAGGGCGCGTTTTGGGGCGCGATTGTTTGCTCATCCAAGCCCTCGGTGCCTGGAGGCAAAGAAGGAGGCGGCAGGCACCGTTGGGGCCCCGAGAGTTGGGGCCCCACGCGGGGTCCCCTGAGCTTTTGGTCAGATTGGGTAGAGCAGGTTTGGGAGAGACCCCGAGGTCACCAGACGCCCAAAGGGCTTGCGGGTCCATCGTACATACAGAAGGGTAGAACATCGAGAATACAAGAACACTTCAGCCTAAAACCACAGTGAAGACGTGGACTCACTTAGGCCCCCGCCTTTGCATGAGGGATGATACATCTGGGCGGCATGGCTCGATATATCTGCAGACAAGACCCCATATCCCCAATGTTTCTGGCCCTCCTAACTTGGACTCCCTCCCAAAAGGGTTATGGGCCCCGTTGAGCTTGATGTTTGGAAGCGTTGGCTTTCTGCATCGGACTACCACGGGGGTACCACACAAATCCGTCGGGACGCCCATCGCAAGTTCATCCAGGCACAGTCAGGGCGATCTCAGACATCACCCAGGATCTCATCGACGGCCAACTGGGATTCTGCAGCGCACCGATCGGGCAGCCATCGGAACACCGTCGAGACCCACAGTCGGAACAACATCGTGTGACCGCTGGTGCGCCACGGCGGGAAATCCCGACAGACTACCGCGCGACACCAACCCGCCTGACCGCCCACCGACGGCAGTGGCGTCGGGAGGTAATTTCGCATTTGCCGCAGACGCGCTAACGGTGTGTTAGCCAACGGCGATGTAGGAACACCAATTGTAGGAAGGCGTGGTCCGTGGCCAAACCAATTGTAGGAACGCGTGGTTCGTGTTGTCCTACAACTCATTGTGTCGTTTTCGTTCGATACGGTCGCAGATTTGAAATGTAGGAACCAGTGTTTCGTGATTTCCTACGTTTTGTTATGCGTGAGCTCGGTGCCACAACAACCATATTCCCAACCGCACCGTTGACCAAGCAAGCCGTTGGCGCGGCCTTGAATATGCCAAGGGCCGCGCCCATGTACGCGCCAGGAGGTCACTTCGTGCAAAAGGGGTTGGGTTGGTCGACGCTCGCGGACGGCTCCGCACACACGTGGCGCACGCGACGAAGCCCGAATTCACGATTTCCCCGCGGGGGCTGGATTCGCAGCGGCTGTCACAGCGCCAATTGCTAATGCGGGCGAAGGTTGAACATGTGATGGAGGTGGAGGTAGTGGTAGGGGTAGAGGCAGAAGTTGAGGTACATTTGTTAAAATGTCTGCTCTCAGGCCCATGGCCATGTCAGAATTCTGGCCGCAAATTATCGAGCGCCTTACGAACCAGCCCCGAGTGGATTGCAAGCGCTTTGTAGGCGATCCCAGTGAGGATGAGTCCGGCCAGTGGCTCGGGTATCGTGGCAGGTGGGTTTCACAGGAAGCAAAAGGGAAGCCAGGTGAAGCTCGAAAGGGGGGAAGGGAGTGCGGCCCGGGTGGCTGGGAGAGTGCGGAGGTGCAGTGTTGGGAGGGGAGGGCTGACGAGGCGGGGAAGAGCGAGGGCGAGGGCAGCCAGGAGCAGCAGAGGATGGGGGGGGGGCAGAGAGGCGCGCCGCGAGACGGGTTGCAGAGCAGGGGCGTGGTGGGGGGGGGGCGCGGACGGAGGGCGGGAGGGCCCCGCTGCGGCGAGCCGCGGCGCGCTTGCCCGCACGCACGTCTCGGAAGCTGGGCGAGGGCTGCTAAAACCGTGGTTGCTAAAACGGCCCTCCCGGAAGGAAAAAACAACTTCCCGGATTGAGGCGCGGCACGCGAAACAGTCAACGGGCTTCTCCCCGGAAGGACGAAGACAATTTCCCAGAGGTTGCTTTTAGCAGCCACGGATTTAGCAGCCCTTGCCCGGCTTCCGAACGTCTGCCCCCGTGCGGTGCGAAGGTGGGCAGCCCCGTGCGGTGGGGCTTCCCGGAGCCCGTGGGCTGGTGCAGCGCACCCGCCTCCCGTCGGGGGCGGCCACGAGGGGGCTGACTACGGGGGGGCCGGATGTGGGGCCATGAGATCTCCCCAGATCTCATGGTTTCTCTTCTCATCTCAATTACGTCCCCGGCCCAGGCCCGCGCACGTGCCGCCAGCCATGATTTGTGCCGCCCCCCCTTTGGGACGGCCCCCTCAGTGGACGCCCCCGATGCCGCCGCTGCCACCCGCGGCTGGCGCTCCTGGCTCGTGCTGCAGCGCCCGGCCCTCTGCTTTTGTGGGGAAGCTGCCAGCCTGCAGCATCTCCCTATGCTGAAGTCGGGCATGTCCCTCTACAGGAGGAATCTTCAACATTAGACAAAACATGGTATACGGGCAATTTACTTTTATTTTTGACATTTTGTTCAAATATTTGTTGAGAGGGTATGTTTGAGTGTTCGTCCAAAATCCACGTGTAGGAGGACATGCCAGACCTTTCCATATATGCCCGTGATTGGCATCACCCTTATCGATGCAGATCTCAAGAAGCCCCTCAGTTCCTGAGGGCGCATGCCTGAGACCCTCGTCGCTTCTGGCCAAGAAGTCCCAGGACATGGGGAGAATCACCTCTCGAGGCTGGTCAGAAGTTCTACCCGACCCCGAGAATCTGGCGTTCACCACGCGGCCCCGGTGACGATTCGTCTCAACAGCCCTGCCTTGCTCGAGCCCTTCCTCGGGGTGCGTCTGCGAGAGAGCTCCGCTTCGCCTGTATGGCGCGCTTCTATCGGCGGCGGGCCCGGGAGGGACGCGAGAGGGGCGGGGCCTCATCAGAGGGCGGCAGGGGTTTCCTCAGAAGCGCACCGGCCTCCCGAGAAGCCGCCTCCGTCCCTGGAGAAGCCTCAGAGCACTTCTCTGGAGTCCCCCGAGGCCCCCCGCTGGGATGGGCGCGGGGGTCGTGAAGGGGATGGGGGGGGGAGGGGGTTCTCAGTGCACGCCAAGGGGGGTCATATCTGGCCTAAACTAGCTAATTTCTGGGTTGCCAGTGCCCCAAGTGGCTTTATGGAGGGGATAGCGATCCAGGCTGAGTGGACTCCGCCCGCTCCGCGGAGTTGTCCGGCCCCCCTGTGCCGCTTGGGGCATGTGTAACCCGCTTGTGAGCCAGGCCAGGCCAGGTCTAACCCCTTCGGCGCCCACTGATCGACCCCTCCGTCCTCTCAGCATCCCCCGCGCCCATCCCGGCCCCCCCCCTGGCCGGTGGCGCCCCCTCGCCACTGCTCGGCGCCCGCCTCCGCCGCCCTGCTCGGGCGCCGCGGCCGCTCGCTGCCGCCTCGGGCGCCGCTGCCGTCCCCGCCGGGCTCTCGCCTCGCTCGCCGCCTGCCCTCGTGGCGGGTCGTCTGTGGCTCTCCGCCGCCCTTCCTCCCGAGCCCAAATCGTGCAAATTGGAAACATCATGACGGCAGGTTTCTCTGTGTTTTCGGCCTCTGGGGGCCCTTCCCCGCTCTCGGGACCGTCGAAACACGTCTCGGAATGGACGACCGGTCCAGGGGAATGGGTGGAGACCGTTGAGCAACGACGGTATTGAAAAGTCATGAAGTCGGGGATCTGGGCTCTCTGCGGGCCGCTTATGGTTTTTTGTTGCCCTTCCTCCCTCCCCGCTCCCTCGCCCGCTCCCCCTCGCTTTCCCGGGCCTCCCCGCCGGAGTCCGAGCAGAGGTGGTCGGAGGGTCGCGCCGCATCGCCGATAGATGCATCAGCGATGCGGCTCGGCATGGATCCCGATCCGCTCCACGCCGACGGCGCCCAGGCGTCGCCGACGTCGCCGATGCACTGGCGATGCTGCGCCATCCGCAGATATAAACTACTCGGACCACCATCTGGTTCTCGCCCTCCTTCCCCATTCCCTCGCCCGCTCCTTCATTCGGGCGGTCTTCTCTCGGCTGTCGCCACTTCCATCGCAGCCATCACAGCCGCCGTCGCCGTCATCCCTCAGTGTTGCCCCAGTTCGGGTTCGAAGTTTTTTGGAGGTGCGGCCAATGCTTGTCTGAAAAGGCGTCGGCGAAGTCTGGCGGAGCACCGTCTCTCAGGAAGAGAGGGCGACAGTGTGATAGCCCCTGGAGGCCAGCTCAGCCATACATCCCCCTCGATCTTATGGAGGTGTGCACACGCAGACTCTCTCCTTACCAGCCTCAGCAAGCCTCAGCCTCAGCAAGTCGTGCCGATGAACGCTGATGTCTTACCCCCCCGCCGTCAAGACTTGCTCTAGCAGATGCGCCCCTCCAAGCAGCGTCCACTGCCGAACGTGTCGCTCGGTAATTCGGTTTACACCATCCGACTGAGCTTCGATTGACCTCGCATGTCTAGAGTGCTTGGAATGCTTCACTCCCCTCCTCCCAGCGGTACAGGTACCAGCCGTTCCTCAATCGCAACAAGGGCATCGAGAGCACCTCGGTCCGGGGGCGGCACCGACGCCACCTGTGCAGACAGAGATGGCGCTTGCAGTGAGGCTGGCAGGAGTGAGAGGCGGAGCCAGCCCTTCGTGCCCGTGCCGCTGACCGAGTCATGTTGTCAGGTCCTCTCCGAGCCTTCCGACCTGTCCGAGCGAGTCTTCCGCTGGGCGCACAGGCGGTGCACCTTCCCTCTATGCCCCCAGGAGCTCTTACTTGATTCTGCCAGGTGATGGCCAGAGGTCAGACAAGGGGTCCATGGAGTTACAGTCAACTGTACCGTATGAGCGCACGATGTGGATGCAAGAGCGTTGGACCGTCTCGACGCTTTGCGGGCAGGGCGCGGCCAGCGAGAGCGGCCGAGGATGGGCCGAGGAGGCAAGGACGAAGGGGTGTCCTCGGGAAGGTCGCCCGTCCTTGCTATGCGGGCTGACTGTACATAGGGGGGTTATCAGTGGACGCCCAAAGAGTTCTACCTGGCCTGACCTAGCTTAGAAGTGGGCTACACATCTAGAGGCCTCCTAGGTGGGGTCGGAGCAGATGGGGTCAAAGGTTCCCCTTGGGGTACCCTTGGGAAGGTTGCCCGTCCTTGCTGTGCGGGTTGACTGCGCCGTCACCCATGAACCCCGTGCGTGCGTGGCAGGCTGCCGAGCGAGGTCTTTGGGCTCGTCGAGCTGTGCCGACACTGTGCTTTCAAGTCGGGCACGTCCCTCTCGATCGACCGAGGCGCGGCCGGCACGTCCTGGCCGGCCCGCGTCGGAGCGCCTCCCGGAGCAGCAGAGAACCTCTCCTCCGACAGGCCGGGGGACGGGCGAGCGAGCCGCCCAGGCCGAGCGGGCCCGCCGCGCTCTCCCGCCCGCCCTCTTGTGTCGAGTCGAGCACGTCCCTCTGCAGGAGGGAGATTCAAGAATAGGCAAACATCTGTCCGTGGACGATGTTCTTGACTTTAGATATATAGTAATAGTGATGATAAGATGTTTGGCTATGTTTGAGCATCTTTTGACTGTGGTGCATTTCTCTTCCACAGTCTGCCTGTAGGAGGACATGCCCGTCCTTGCATGGAGGGCGGAGGGGGGAGGGGGGGGATGGAAAGGGGGGGGAAGGAGACGATCTAGGCCTCCCAAATGGGGTCCGAGTAGATGGGTCGGAGGATCGCGCCGCATCGCCGATGCATCGGCGATGCAGCTCGCTGTGGAGCCCGATGATTTTGTCCACGCCGATGTCGCTGGTGCGTCGCCGACGGCGGCGATGCATCGCCGATGCATCGCCGTTGGATTGGCGATGCGGCGCGATCCTCCGACCACATCTACTTCGACCCCATCTAGGAGGCCTCTAGGAGGGGGGGGGGGAAGGGGGGGGAAGGAGACGAGGCCCGAAAGCGCTGCCTCGGAGGGCCTGGCGCTGCTGCAGACGGCGGCTTCGGGGGGGGGGACGGGGGGGCCGGGGAGGGGGGCAAGGGCGGGGGAGGTGCAATGCAGGCAAACCCGCACGAGTCCAGAGCAAAGCGCCACCCCACCGCGTATCGCCCTCTTCGCCCCTTGCCGTGCCCCGTGCCCGTCCTCCCGTCCGACCTGGGCTCCGCCGGCCTGTCGCGGCTCCCCCCCCGCCCCCGTCCCCGTTGCTCTCCCCGTGTGCGTTTTACCACACCATCGCCACACCCGCCCGTGGTCGATGCCACCTACTGTGACACCAAGATCGAGCTCCCGACTCCAGAGCGACCTCGCCCACGATCCTGACACATACTCCTCTTCCTCCATTTTTCAAAAGCCCAGGCGGGGGGACCCTCCCCCAAAACCGGGCACTCCCAAGAGCACTCCCAAGAAGGCCCCAAGAGGCAAAACTCATTGATTTTCGGCGGGTTTTTGGTGAATTTGGGGGGTCTCCTTTATTCGGCTTCCCGACTCTCCAATACGGCAGTCTTCTGGGCGTCCGAAGCCGCCTGGGAGGCTCCAAAATCGCCCCACAACCATCCAGGCAGTCCAAGAGAGCCCCAAAACGGCACAACAGGGGTCAAAGATGGCCCCAAGGGAGCCCCATGGCGGCCCAAGACGGTCCCAAGCCACCCTCCGAAGCATTCCAAATCGTGACCTGGTCGTTCAGGGAGACCGCGGTTGGAGGCAGGGTGGCCCGAGGAAGCCCCCAGAACCTCCAGAACACGCCCAGGAGGCCACCATAAGGCCTTAAGAAAGCTTGAAACTTTTGTGAGGTCCCCAGAGGCTCCAAGAAGGAGCCTCCGCAAAAAGAGCTGAGGAGGATGGGGAAAATGCGCAGGGTATGGCGAGAACGAGGAAAAAGAAGCACGCAGGAAGGATAACGAATACGTAACATCATTTTAGCGGCGATGCTTGAAAAGGCAACAAGGAGTCATCGCTAAATCGTCGGCTTGACCTTCCTGCCATTCCGCCTGCATACAACAACCTTCACGAACCAAGGTGCATGGCGCGAAGCGCCACTGCAGTCTTGTAAATATTTATATTTTCCTTCTATATTTTTATAAGCCCGGGGGGGGACCCCCCCCATAACCGGACTCCCGGGTTCTGGGGCTTTGAGACCCTCTGGACGGGCCTCGAAGCGGCCCCCCGGCCCTCGCAGGGCGTTTTGCCAAGCCTTCCCAGCACACCTAGGGTGATCAGGGGGGTCATCGGAGAAGTCCCACAGACCCCCCAGCCAGCACAAGAGCGCTCCAAGAGTGACCGACGTGACCTCAAGATGGCCCAAGAGGCCTCCAGGACGGCCCCAAAGGCTTCAAAAAACTTCCAAGAGCACTCCCAAGAAGGCCCCAAGAGGTACAAATCATTGATTTTCTGCGGGTTTTTGGTGAATTTGGGGGGTCTCCTCTTTTCGGCCTCCCGACGCTCCAATACGGCAGTCTTCTGGGCGTCCGAAGCCACCTGGGAGGCTCCAAAATCGCCCCACAACCATCCGAAAGGGCTTCCAGGCAGTCCACGAGAGCCCCAAAACGGTACAACAGGAGTCAAAGATGGCCCTAAGAGAGCCCCATGGCGGCCCAAGACGGTCCCAAGCCACCCTCCGAAGCATTCCAAATCGTGACCCGGTCGTTCAGGGAGACCGCGGTTGGAGGCAGGGTGGCCCGAGGAAGCCCCCAGAACCTCCAGAACACGCCCAGAGGCCTCCAGAAGATCTTAAGAGAGCCTGAAACTTTTGTGAGGTCCCCAGAGGCTCTCCAAGGAGGAGCCTCCGCAAACATGGCTGAGGATGATGGGGAAAATGCGCAGGGTATGGCGAGAACGAGGAAAAAGAAGCATGGAGGAAGGAAAACGAATAACATCATTTTAGCGGCGATGCTGGAAAAGGCAACAAGGAGTTATCGCTAAATTGTCAGCTTGACCTTCCTGCCATTCCGCCTGCATACCAAACTTCACGGACCAAGCAAGGTGCATGGCGCGAAGCGTCATTGCAGTTTATTATATATATATATATATACATATATCCAACTCACGGGCAGTGTTTGGGGCATTCGAGAGGATCCTTGGAGGAGGAGGCCGAGGGGGAGGAGGAGAAGGAGGAGGAGGAGGAGGAGGTGGAGGACAAGCCAGGTGCGCTCGCACCATATCTGAAATCCCCCCCACCCCCCCCCACCCATTCTGCGCTGATTTGTTCTGTATCGGACCTGGAGCTCCAAATCATACCCATCGTGCCATTCGCATTCTGAAAGAAGGGAAGCTGCCAAATGCGTGTTGCGAAACCATCTGTCTTACATGCTTGCGGGACACTCGATTGAGAATTCCTTGCGGAATCTAAGGTTTTTGACGGATTTCGGCATGCGCGCGACGACGCACGCGCGCGTGTGCACGTCGGCCTTGTTTTTAGAACAGATTGTTGAACACTGAGGAGCTTTGATGAACGAGTGCGCGCGCGCGCGTAGAGCTTCTGCAGGGGATGAGGAGGGGTGGATACCGGCCTGGCTGGGATGGTACGACTTCCTATTTAGGATGCACAGTGGGGCAGAATCACATGTAAAGTGCAATACGAAAAGGTGAGCGGGTAAGTCGGGGGGGAGATCCACACAATTTGTTAGAAAGGAGAATCTATGCGGTGCAGCCTTTGTGCTGCAGTCTACGCGGTCCAATCTACGAATAGCAATTAATATTTGACCGTCTTGAAGCTGTCCTCTCCACTGCTCGTGCAAACATTCCACCCTCCCACCCGCAACTTGGTCGCAAGACCTCTTAAGACATGACCGTGACGGTACGTACCACATGACACTTGGCCACGACACCGACGCCGACGACGACAGCGACAACGACGACGATGGCGCCGCCGACACCGACTACGACGACACCGGCGACGGCTCCAACGACTTCGACGACGACAACGACGACACCGACGACAACGACGACGACGACGTCAACGACGCCGACGACGACGACGACGGCGACTACGACGACACCGACGACGTCTCCGACGACTTCGACGAAGACAACGACGCCGACGACGACGACGACGAAGACGACGACGTCGCCAACGAAGACGACGACGAGGGAGGAGGAAGGACGACGACGGCGACAACGACGACTACGACGACAACGACGACAACGACGAGGGAGGAGGGAGGACGGCGACGACGCGAACGACGAAGAAGGAGGAAGGGCGGCGGCGCCGACGACAACGACGAGGGAGGAGGGAAGACGACGACGACAACGGCGACGACGACGACGGCGACGAAATGGGGGGGACGACGACGAGACGCCGACGACAGACGACGACGACGAGGGAGGGGGAGGAAGGACGAACACGGCAACAACGACGACGGAAACGACCACGACGCCAAAGAGGACGACGACGACGAACACGAGGAAAGACAGAGGACGACGTAGGCGACGACGACGACGACGCGGGAGGAGGGAGGACGGCGACGACGACGACGACGACGACGATGCAAGAGAGCGCGCGCGCACGCTTTTGTTGAAAATCCGTGTTGCGAAACCTTGTGCTTTTGTAGGTTTTTTGGACACACGGTTTTGAAATCCTTCCGGCACCGATAGGTTTTGAATGTTTTCGGCATACGCGCGCGACGACGCGCGCGTTTGCATTTCGTCCAATTTTTTGCAAAGGATTCTCGCGACGGCACATGCGCAAGGGCGTTCGACAGATTTGGACATGCGCGCGCGAAGCCCGTTTAATAGCACTTTGTGAACATCCCATGGTTTTCTGAAGATTTCGCAAGAGTTCGCGCGGAAGTTTTTGTTTGCAAATCAGTGTTGCGAAATGTTGTGTTGTTGTATGTTTTTGGGGAAACTCGATTGCGAAATTCTTCCGGCACCGAAGGTTTTTTAAGGATTTCGGCATGCGCGCGCGACGACGCGCGCGTGCGCACTTCGTCATATTTTTTGCAAGGGCTTCGTGAAAAAAGTGCTAGTTAGAACACAAAATGTCACCGCATAGTGTTTTTTTCACAAGGGACCCTCAGGGGGGGGGATACCGGCCCCCCTGGGATAGTGCAAATTCATATTTAGTATGGACATGTGGTCCGAATCGTATATGATTGGCATACCCGAAAGGGGTAGCGATAACGCCGGGGGGGGGCGGTAGATCCTATGCTGTTTTCAGAAAAGAGAATCTGGGGCGGCCACGGGCCGGCGACGGCGAACACACAGCCGTCAGACGGACAGACAGGCCCAGGCGACGAGGCGGCGACGGGGCGACGACGGCGGCAACACAGTCGCCAGACCGACCGACAGGCCAAGGCATTGGGCGGCGACGGGGCGGCGACAGCGACAGCATAGCTGCCAGACCGACAGACAGGTCCAGACCAGCGGCGACGAGGCGGCGACAGGGCGGCGACGGCTTTAACATTGCCGCCAGACCGACAGACAGGCCCAGAATCTTAGTGCAGATGTAAGATGCCCTAAGTGTGAGCACAAGTTAGGGGAATGGTACTCTGTTACGCTCTGTTCTGTTACGAACAGGCCAGCGTTACGCCGTGACGATTGTCAAGTTTAATACGTCGTCCACTTGGTCGTTGCTGCGCCTCTTTGTTTCTGTGGCCAGCTTGATCCCGGCGCGCACGTCGGGTTTGATAGGGCTCCGTAAATCGGCCGTTCATGTTCAGTTTGATGTTGTAGTCAGCATGGTTGGCTTCCGGACTATCCGAACATCTTTGATTACATTCTATTATGCGATGCTCTCTTCTCGTATGTGTTGTTCCCCATCTATCCTGCTACGTCCTTGTACGTGAAAATTGCTGCATTATTCGACTACCCAACACTATCCTGATATGCCAAATCGAAAGGTCTTCCAATAGTTGATGTTATATGTTTGGTTTCGCCCGGCCGTAGTATGTCCTAGCCCAGTGTTAACAGTTTAGTTACTGGTATGTCGGTTGTTGTTCTCGTAGTCGCATTCTTTCTTTGGTAGGTTTAATATCATGTCTGTGCATGTTTATATGCAGTTGTATATATATAGATTGAATTCCAGGTGTGTTCTGTCTTACGCTCGTACTAGCACTTCTGAGGTATCGCAGTGTACTGCGTGTACGTATTGTTTTGTATCATTAGTTGTTGATATCAGTTGGTACGCCATGTCTTGTTGTTAGACTCGATTTCCCCCATTGTGACAAGACATAGTATTACATAGTTTTGTCTGCCTCTCTCTGCCCTGGTCTGCTGTATTACATGATGGGGCTTCCCTCGCCAGGTAATGTGTAACGTTTTGGTGTGCCCCAGTATATTATAACATCGTCGATGCGTTAGTGGTAGCAGTTGAACAACACGTTTGCGATACTCGGTTATGTAATGTTGCATTGTGGTATGCCCTGCTCTGTCACCGTATGTCCTTCTTACGTTATGGTACGATCGATTATTCGATAATGTGTTATGTTTTGGTATGACATGTAATGTGCACCTGAATCATTATAATGCGCAAATTCATGTTGTGTTATGGTATACACATTCAAGTCTAGTAGTTGTTGTTAGGTTGTATGGTCGCTGTTGTCGTAGTGACCCCGGTCGTATAATAAGTATGGTTTGCCATGTTGTGTGTGTCATTGTGTATTATGTGATTATCTTTCATTTCACAGTATGATGTGTTACGACGTGACATATTATGATATACGGTGTAGTGTCATGGTATGTTATGTTGTGTTGTAAGGTTTAATGGCACGTTGTGCTAGTGAACGTTGTGATATGGCTAGTTGTGTTGTGTTATGATACGTTGTGTCACGCGATGCGTTGCTAGTAATATTTTGTCATCGCATGTCGCGTAATTGTATGATTCATTGGCTGACGCCGCACCGCCGACCCCGTGGAGCAGCAGTAAGACTGACAAACGGAGTTTGCGGAGCGCGCGCGATTTCTGAGGAATCTTGTGGTTTCAGCTTCTTGGGGTTTCGTCGGGGCGGTGAGCGGATCGCGGCTCTGCTCTTGGGCCTCTTTGGCGTTCCTGGCAGCATTTTTGAGGCCTCTTGGGAGCCGTGTTGAGGTTTCCTTGGGCCTCTTTTTGGTCTCTCGGGGGCTTCGTGGGAGCTTTTTGGGGGGCCTCTTGGCGCCTCCTCACGGGGCCGAGTGATCGAAATGGCCATTCGGGTTCCCCCTCTGGGCCTCCTCTTGGGCCGTCCTGGGGACCTCCTGGGCCGTTTTGGATGCTTTTGGGGCCGTCTCGGGACCTTCTTGGGCCGTCTTGGAGCCCTCTTGGGCTATTTGGGTCGATCGTGAAGGCTTCTTGGGCCGTTGTCGGCCTTGTGGAGGCCCAAGAGGCGACTGTGCAAAAAATATACGTTTCCCCTCGGGAATCGGACGATATTGGCTTCTGGAGGGGCCTCTTGGGACGCCTCTTGGTGGCTTCTTGGGCGTCTTGGGGGCCTCTGGGACCGTCTGTAGGCAATCTTGGGCGTCTTGGAGCGATCTTTCGGCGACTCGTAGCCCTCTTGGACCGTCCGGGGGGTCTTTTGGAGCCCTCTTGGCCCGTTTTGGAGCCCCATGGGGCTCCAAGGGTGCGGCGGGCACCTTTGCCCCCCACCCCCCTCACCCCCTCCAAACTGACTGGGCCGGGCCCCAGGGGGAGGGGTTTCGGGAGGGGGAAGCATCTCACACGCCGTGACTCCAAGAGGTCGGCGGATTCTACCCTTATGTGGGATTGGCTGTATGCTACCCTATAATCATTGGCGCAGCGGTAGCAGGAGCGATTCTGCTGTGCTCGGGCATTGGATACTCTGCCCTGATCCGATCCAGACTTCTATGAGTTGCTATGCTACTGTCTGGTGTATGAGGCCATGTGTTGTAGTTGTGCTCTGCTATGCCATGTCATGCCATGCCATGATGTGGTATGCATGTTTATGTATAGGTTGTTCTTATGTAATCTCGTTATTCTGCGTCAGTCTGTGAGGGTATTGTCTGTTATGCTCTGTACGGTCGTACTACGAGTATGATGGGTTGTGTGTGTGTGTGTGTCCGTTTCGGCTGCGTGTTTTTTATGTCGGTTGTTGATGTCTCTTTGCTGATGCGTCGTGACGCCTGGACGACGTGACGCCGTGACGCCTCCCTCTCGGGGCTGTCTGGTTTTCAGGGTGTCTTCATTCGTCGAGGACGCGAGGCAGGATACTCAGGGACCACCGGAATGCTGTGGGGTCTGGCGACCGCGGTATGGTGTCCTCATCCGTCGAGGACGCGAGGCGGGACCCTCAGGAACCACCTGTACCCTACTGGGTTTGGCGACCGCGGTATGCAGGGTGGGCAGACGGGATCTCTTTCTTAACATCTAGCAGCCCCACCCTGTCGGGTGGGGAACAAGGACTCGGGATGAGAGCTCAGTCCCAGAGAGGGGATCCAGACCTCCGGGCGCTTTTTGTTATCCCCTGGCGATCATGGGCGATACTGGAGGAGGGGGGGTGAGGGTGAGAGGGGGACGGGTCACGTCACGATTCGCGCCGGGGCGAGTCGTGACGTGACCTTGGGGAGGGGCAGGAGCGGAGTTGGGACCGGTCACGGGGCCTATCACGAACGAAAAGCGAGCTGCTTAACCCCAAGAGCATGCAGAGTGATTAGGGCTGGCAAAATCGGCTAGGCTAATCACACGTCGTGGAGTCCGCCGCAGCTGCGCCGAGCAGCGCCGTTGCGACAGCGGGCCGTGGTGGGAGGGGGAGGGGAGGGAGGCGGAGATGGGGGGGCAAGGAACGGGGGAGCGGGGGTGAGCGGGACAATGGAGAGTGTAGGAGGAAAATCAGGGCCAGAAAAGCTACGCCGACAAACCCTTGTAGCTGGTGCTTGCCGAACGGTCCTGGGCATTCGTTACCACGTGGTCCTATCCGGCTCAGTTTCTTTGCCACAGGGATTCGCTGGTATTTGTGTTTGTTTGGGTGTAATTCTGCCCCCAAGGAGGGGACGGGGTGAGGCGGGGGGCCGGGCGGGACTAGGACCGGAATAAATCGCTCCAGAGCGTTCCGCAACACTGTCCGAATGTTCCAGAGCGCTCTGGATCAGCCGCGGCGTCCGATACGTCCTCCGTTGCCGCTGGATCTCAGAGATCCTCCTAGTTGTCCCAGTCCGGTTTTGCCCCGTTCGAGTCTTGGCCTCGTCTGAAGGTGGGGGGCCGCTGTTGCCGGTGCGCTCTGCTTTCGGCGGGCGGCTCGCAGCTTCGGCCTCGGCGCGAGGTCGTCCTCCACTGGCAGCAGCCGGACCCGCCGGCATTCCAGCAGCGGCAGGCGACCAGGACTGAAGATCTGCACAGTTCGCCCTCTTCCAGGTCATCAGCGTCTGCCCTCATCGCCCACCCTGTTTGCGGCCACGTGCCCGTGCAGCAGCGCTGTAGGAGGGAGGCTGAGCAAAGAACCAGCGCAATTTCGACGAACAAGGGGCACACGCGGAAACCATCACATGTGACATGTCGGGCGCTGGTCATGCGCGGAAGCCGTCACATGTGAGATGTCGGGCGTGGGTCAGACGCAGAGGCCGTCACATGTGACATTTCGGGCGTGGGCCACGCGGAAGCAGTCACACCAGACGTGTCGGGCGTGGGTTTGATACAAAAGCCGTATATGTGACATGTCGGGCGGAAGCCGTCATATGCGACATGTCGGACGTTGGTCACACGCGAAAGCCGTGACTGGGACGGGTCGTGATCCCGACCTTCTTCGTCTGCGCGGAGGAGGAGAGGGAGGAGAAGGAGGAGGAGGAGGAGCAGGAGGAGGAGGAGGAGGAGGAGGAAGAGGAGGAGGAGAGGGAGGAAATGAGGATGAGGAGGAGGAGGAGGAGGAAAAGGCTTCTTTGGGCTTTCTTGGGTCCTTGGAGCTTCATAAGGGGGCCGCATGGGGGCCTCTTGGGGGCCTTTTGGGGCCTCTTCGACCGTCTTAGGAGACTCTTGGCCCGTCTGACGCCGATGGAGGTCGCCGTGGGGGTCTCTCTACGCCGTGCTTTGGTGCCCGTTTGGAGCGGTTCACGGCCGTCTTCGGGCCCTCTTCGAGACAGTTTGGCGGTCTTCGGGTCTTCTCGGACCCTCTTGGCGGCCTCTGGGGTTGTGTCGAAGCTATATTGGGCGCCTCTTGGAGGCTTCACGGACCGTCTTGGGCGGCAGGGAATCCGAACAGGCGGAAACGTCAACATGGTTGAAGAACCTAAGAAACATCATTGAGAGTAGACATCAGAGAGTAGAGTGTAGAGGGTAGACAGCACCAGTCCCCACATTCGTCATCATGTTGTTTCCATCACCAGCACGCTGCTGCTACACTCCTAGCATGGACAGCTTGGGCTTGCTTTGGTGTGCCAGGCCTTTCTGAATGCCTCGACGACAGAAACTACGAAGGGGCATCTCGCCTTCAGGGGCCTTCGAGAAATTAGTTCTCGCCTCGCACGACAGGAACCACCGAATTACAGGCTCGACGATCCCGACCGAAGCTCTTCGGAACGGTTCGTTGCCGCCCATGGGTCCTTGGATGGTCGACAACTTCAATGTTCCGAGCCCAGCTTCTGCATCCCCAGTCCCGGACCCCGATGTCATTGCCATTGCGAGTTGCGATTCTTGTTGCACAGTTCTGACGGCGTGAGACATTTAAGCCAGTGCATGTGGGGCCAGCACGCTTGCCTTCCCATTATACGCGCCCATTATACGCAAATGCCTCCGCTTTCATATGAGCTTCGATGTTGGCCGTTGCCATGATGTATTTGAGTGTTTCACCGACTGTTTGTCAGCCCTCACACTCCTTGCTCATGCACTGAACAGTCTTGTTTGCTCGTTTCTATGTGTTGTTCTTGCCACTTTGGCTTCTGACCCGAGGAGGCTGGACAAACAGTGGCCTGGCAAGCAGCAGGTCCAATTGAACCAGACAGTGGTGAATGGGGTGTTATTGAGGCATGTTTGCCTTCGACCTCTGATTTGTGCAATGTCTGTTATACTAGACGCTTCGCGTAAATCTGCCAGTGTCCCGACAGCCACCCATCTGAGGCCTCGGCCGCGCTTAGTCGTCGCCTCGCGCGTCGCGCTGTTTGTTTTTCCCGCGTTTCCTTTGCCTAATTAGTCTCTGCGTTGCCCGCTTTGACCTGACACGCCGCCGGCGCGCTCGCCCGCGGCCGCTGACTAAAAAGTAAATCCGCCAGTGCTCGGACGGCTTTCGGCCTGCTTCGCGAGCCCGCAGACCAAACAAGTAAATCCGCCAGCCAATCCAGAAACGATACTCGGGCGAGTTGGCCTGATCAAGGATGTGGATGAGCATGCAGTCGAATCAACGCTTCGGGAAGCTGGCATACCCAAGCGGGGAAGGGTTGACTGCGGAGAGGGAGAAGGCGAGCAGAGACGCCAGAGGTCTCTCGGATGCCTCACGGACTCTTTTCGTATGTTTCGTGGGAGCCTCTTGGAGTCCTTTTGGGGCGTCTTGGGAGCCTCTGGATGGTCCCGGGGGCATCTTGGAACGTATTGGGTGCCTCGGGGGAGCCTTCCGGGGCCTCTTTAGGGTGTCTTGGGAGCCTCTTGGGGACCACTTGGAGGCCGCTGGGGGCTTCTTGGGGCCTTTTTGGGACACTCTTGGGAGCCTCGGGGGCCATCTTGGGGCCATCTCGGAGGATATCGATCAAAGAAGGGGGGGCTAAATTTGCCCCCCCCCCAACCCCCCACCCCCCATGAGGCCAAACTGAACCCCAAACCTAGTTAAAATCAATGACTGTTGCCTTCTAGCCGAGGCCATTCTGGACGCTCCAACGGGACGGAATTGGAAAAGGTGCAAACCTTTCCCCGAAGGGGAAGACGGGGTGTTGGAAGAGGAATCGCCCGAAACCACCTACGCCCTAAAGGGCTGGTGGAATTTGATGCGCTGTCGCCCTCTGAACTGATGTATTGTTGATTGCTCATGCACGCGCGCTTATGGTCCTCTTTCTGGCTTGCGCCACACTGTGAACTGCATCCCTTCTCCGCCCGTGCCGTTTTCATCCGCCCTCTCTCCTCTCCCTCTCTCTCTCTCTCTCTTTTTCCGTCTCTCTCTCTCTCTCTCTCTCTCTCTCTCCGTCTCTCCCTCTCCTCCCTCCTCAGTTCTCCTCTGATTTTCATTGTGAGCGTAAGGCGCCATTCGGGCGACCCGAATTGGCTTCGGGCGAGGGTCCATATTTGGTCGTCTGGCTCGCTGGGCGAACGCTGCCCACCGGGCTCGGCTCTGGCTCTGAGCGCTGGGTGCTGCTCGGAGCGCTGGGTGCTGCCTGAGCAATATCCATATCCCCAGCCCACGCCTGACCTCGGTGCCGATCTTAGGGATGCCGTCGGTGTCTACATGCGCATTGCACAGCCTGCAAGTACCCTGGGCGTGTTCGGTTTCAAATCTTTGGGGCCTTGTGTATCCTCGTAATTATGCCTGTAGGGTGCACTGGCGGCCGCTCGCGTCTGATACTCGATACTGTTACTGTAGCGTCAAGTTAGCGTCGAGGAGCGTCGATTAGCGTTGACTTAGCGTCGACTAGCGTCGATTAGCGTCGATTCGCAAGAGCCAACAAGAGGGTATGGGAGGCTCCCATGATCTGTGGCCACATGCGAACCCTACCCCCAGACCCCACGATTTCTCAGCGGGTGGGGGGGGGGTCACTCCGCTCGGGAGCTCCCGAGCGAAGCGATCCCCCACCCCGCCCTCAGAAATCGTGGGGGGTGGGGGTAAGTTTCACGCGTGGGCACCTGCATGAGTGGCCACCGAAGGTTTGTCCATCTTGCGGGTCGGAGGAAGAGGAAGAGGAGGAGGAGGAGGAGAAGGAGGAGGAAGAGGAGTAGGAGGAGGCGGAGGAGGAGCAGGAGGAGGAGGAGGAGGAGGAAGAGGAGGAGGAGGAGCAGGGTGATGATGAGGAGGAGGAAGATGAGGAGGAGGAGGAGGAGGAGGGGGAGGGGGAGCGTCCTACCCCTCCCTCCCATCCCTTACTACGGCGTAGATCTCTTTTTCTATTCGCATAATCGGATGTCGCAACATGGCATAGCATCACATGGCATAGCATGATTTTAAATATCAACGCGTAACATGACATAGCATGGCGTGGCGACGTCCCAAAGTGCGGGGGAGGCCTCTGCGGCCCAAACAATCAACGAATCGACACCGAATATGACATCACGTCCGATGGTTTTTTGAGGGAGGCCATGTTCTAGATTTGGGGGCCTATTTGCAAGGACCGAAAAACATGCCGTGGCATGGCACTGGAAATGTTGACGCCAGCGCTGCAGTGGGAGCACGATTCGGGACGAGCGGGAGCGCGGAAAGGAGGCCAGCGCTGCAGCGGGAACACGACGGAGGTGGAGGAGGAGGTTCGGGAGGCGAGGCCGCGCCCTCCCCCCCCCTTTCACCCCCCCCTTGGAGCGAGGCCGCGCCCCCTTCCCCCCCCCTCCCCTGGGGCGAGGCCGTGCGCCCCCGGGGCGAGGGGCCGTGCCTGTCAGTGCTCCGCGTTTCTCGCCCGTGCCACGGTTCTCTGCAGGCAGGTGCCAATGGCAGATCGGTTTCTGCAGTCAACCCGCGCAGCAAGCAGGTGCAACCTTCCCAAGGGTACCCTCGCATCCATACCTCCTCGGTCCCTCCTTGGCCACGCTCGTTGGCCGCGCCCCGCTCGAAAAGCTTAGAGATGGGCATCCAAGGCCCCTGCAACGTCATCGCCCATCCTTATGATACGGGCCGGCTGAATGGCGTTCCCGGTTTGCTTGACGGCTGCCTGACTCGCATTGTGTTCATGGGCGAGAGGTTTTCTCTTTCTCTCTCTCTCTCTCTCGCTCTCTCTCTCTCTCTCTCTCTATATATATATACACACATATATATATATATATATATATATATCCGTAAGGGCTTCGCCCCCTGCCGCCGGCCCCCGCTCTCGGAGAATGGGCCATGGAAGAGCTAAGTCATGAGGCTTTGGCGCTGTCGTGCAGCAGTATCGGAACTTCATGCGAGGCCGATTCGCAATCGGCAAAGCCAATTGATCACAAGAGGGGTTACCACTCAGGGCGATTGGTAAGACGTGTATGGTTTACGAGCTTGGTTACCACACCTTGGGATTAAAAGGCCGAGGGAGTACTCGCAGTTTGGGTTACCACGCCTTGCGATGGATGTGCGTGAGGGGTGGCACCGAATTTCAGAAATGTGGCAAATCCCCTGTGTTTTTGGACCCTGACCCCGCGGATCTGCGTGAGGGGTGGCACCGAATTTCAGAAATGTGGCAAATCCCCTGTGTTTTTGGACCCTGACCCCGCGGATCTGCGTGAGGGGTGGCACCGAATTTCAGAAATGTGGCAAATCCCATGTGTTTTTGGACCCTGACCCCGCGGATCTGCGTGAGGGGTGGCACCGAATTTCAGAAATGTGGCAAATCCCATGTGTTTTTGGACCCTGACCCCGCGGATCTGCGTGAGGGGTGGCACCGAATTTCAGAAATGTGGCAAATCCCCTGTGTTTTTGGACCCTGACCCCGCGGATCTGCGTGAGGGGTGGCACCGAATTTCAGAAATGTGGCAAATCCCATGTGTTTTTGGACCCTGACCCCGCGGATCTGCGTGAGGGGTGGCACCGAATTTCAGAAATGTGGCAAATCCCATGTGTTTTTGGACCCTGACCCCGCGGATCTGCGTGAGGGGTGGCACCGAATTTCAGAAATGTGGCAAATCCCGTGTGTTTTTGGACCCTGACCCCGCGGATCTGCGTGAGGGGTGTCGATTTCGAGCCCCCCCAGCAATTCAGACAACGCGCCCAGGGGGTGCTAAAACATCCTGTTTGGGCCTCCCCCCCCCTCGCGCGGTCAATCAACTAGTTACAGTAACCAGCAAGAAGCAGAACTGCAACACTGGAAACTACAAGCTACAACTGGTACAGGAAACTGCGAACCCACGCGTACAGCCTGGTGGCCCCACAAGGGGGCCGGCGGATGTATATATATATATATATATATATATATATATATATATATGTATGTATATATATGAATGCATACATTTAGTATGTACAAATATGTTGAGGGGGGCGGCGCCGATTGTTGACTTGCATTGGCTTCGGCCTTGCATCACCATCGATAAAGAAGAAGCCTCGTTGAGGCTGTGCCTCTGGAGCCAGACGCCGCTGGTCGTGTTGAGGAGCACGCTGCCACCAGGCCGCCCGTCCTCCCCTCTTGGCAGCGTCAGAGTGCACGCCAGCGCCTCTCTCCTCCCCCCGCGCGCGCAGCGACCGGGGGCAAATCCTTCCCCCCCCTTTCGCCTCCTCCTGCTCCTCCTCCTGCTCCTCCTCCTGCTGCTCCTCCTCCTGCTCCTCCGCCTCCTCCTCATCCTCCTCCTCCTCCTCCTCCTCATGCTCCTCCTCCTCCTCCTCCCCCCCTCCCTCCTCCCTCCTCCTCCTGCTCCTCCTCCTCCTCCTTGCTGTCCTCCTCCTCCTCCTGCTCCTCCCCCTCCTCCTCCTCGTCCTCATCCTCCTCCTCCGCCTCCTCCTCCTCCTCCTCCTGCTCCTCCTCCTCCCTCCTCCCTCCTCCTGCTCCTCCTCCTCCTTCTGTCCTCCTCCTCCTCATGCTCCTCCTCCGCCTTCTCCTCCTCCTTCTTCTCTGCCTCCCTCCTGGATGCCTTCCCCCCTGGGCGGGGGTCAGGCCTCGGCTCACAGGGCCCCAGGACCGTCAAAGACTACACAGGGCTCTGTACGATCGACGTGGTTCCCCGCGCAGGTGTTCATTAGAGCAGCGTGCCCATGCTTCACCTACGCCCATCGAGAATCTTGAGAACAGGCGACAGTGGACTCGGGAATCTGCTCAAGGAACTCGAGGATCCAGGAGCTCGAGACTCTGGACTGGACTCTCGGCGCTCTCTTGGAGCTTCCTTCTCTTCGTAGAGCGCTCGTGCATGTGGACCTGGACTACGCTTCAAGATCACGCATGAAGCCAAGGCCATTGTCTCCACGCCGATTTTCTCAACTCTAAGTGGGGATTCACCTGCGTGCCAACTCTTCATATGCAGTCGGGGCGCTGAAGAAGGAACCCGCTTTGTTGGGAATGGATTCGGTGTTCCTCAATTGGTTCACAGCTTGCCTAAGGTTTTTCTTCGGTTTTCGATGGGGAATCGAAGTTCAACGTGTGGGGAAAAGGGGCCTCGTTCCTTATTTAGGGTTCCTTAGGTTAACACCCCGACTCTACCTGCGTGCCTCGTTTTATACGTTGCGTGCTCCCCCTGCCACGAACCCGAAGCCCCACCGCTCCCGCCCTCGCCTGGGATGTCTTCGCGGGGGGCCTGAGGAGCCGGAAGCGATAGGAGAAAAGCAGGGGACGGCCTGGAGGGAAGACGTCTTCGAGTAGGGGATCGACGACATAATGGATTTGTACCAACATTGATTTCCTTCCGAATCTCTAATGCGTAGACTGCTTCTCATATCTACGGAACCACCTACCTGCGCTCCGTAGATTCGACGGGCAATCAATTGGGTGAATCAAGTTTGTGGTCGATTGCCTATTCGACGTGTGCGGTCAAGAGCTTTTGGTTAGCGTGTCGCTCCGCCCGTTCTGGCCCACCACGCTTGGACACGAGCTATCTACGCCGCCCCAGTCCCCCAGCACGAACGGTCCGAGCCTCTCCTAGCCGCCCCCTCAGCGGAGCGGAGCCAGACGCTATCCGCTTGCAAGGGGTAGCGCGTCTCAGGGGCCGCCGCCGCGACGCGTCCCGACCGTATGCGGCAGTCGGGAGGGGGGCGGCGGGGGGGAAAGGAGCAGAACGCGCGGGGCGGGCGGGCCTGCACTCAAAGGGGGATGCGAGCGAGATTGACAGACGTCTCTCGACCCCCCCCTGACGCGCTCGGGCTCGTGATGCCCGAGACGGTTGCCGGCTTTGGTCCGCGAAGGCCCGTCGTCGGCCCTTGCTCCTCGGTGGCAGCTGTCCTTCCCTCGGGCAGGGGAGCATCCACGGTTGCGGCACTCTGCTGCAGGACACTGGCTCGGAGAGGCAGCGCCGTTGCGGCAGTTCCTGTCGAGGCACGGCAGGGCCACTGGAGAATACACCCTTAACTCGGGGGCGGCAAAGAGGGGGGTGATGACTAGGGGGGGGGGATATCATGGCGGGGGCCATGATATTTCCTCCGACTTCATGGCGCCTCTTCTTATTTCATTACGTCCCTGGCCCCCCCGCTGGGCCGCGCACACGCCGCCAGTCATGATTTGCACCCCCCCTCTTGGACACCCCCTCTTGGCCGCTCCCGAACTGGAGAATACGTACACCCTTAACACCCTGCTTGCCTCCAGGGTGCCCTGGGTGTCTTGGGTTTCTGTGGTTTTGCCATGGAACGCGTGACGTTCCCACACCAAACATCGATGGGCGTCCTGGGGTCTCAGGGTCGGGTTTCTTGTGGAAGGGTTCTTGTGGACGGGCCCCTACTGTACTTCGGCCAGCCCCCTCCGACCCCCCGCGATGCTTTCCAAAGTCAGCCCTCAGGCGGGCATGTTTCGCTGTGCTACAGGCTTCGGCTGACTATCGCTGGGCACTAGCACCTCCTGGTCTTGAGGTGTTCAAAAGTCTTTCGTCACTTCTTCCGGCCTTGCCAGATCTCTGACGTCCTGATTTGTTTCGCACCGCCGACCTCCAGAGGTGTAGACCCATTTCCCCAGGCATGTCTTTCGCCCCGGATAGTCGGTTGACGTTCCCAGGGTTTGGTGAGGGCCCCCAGAAGCCGAAAATTGTCACCGACCGCCAGTCGTGATTTCTCACAACGAGAAGATGTGGGGCTCCGCCCGCCCTTGCCACCTGCTGACGGCGAGGGGTCACATTTGAGCGAGGCAGAATACGGGGTTTGACTGCGCGGACAATCGCGCGGAAGCTGCTGCCCGCGTCAGTTTGCGCGTAAGCGCCCTCGCTTCGAATGTGGCGTGCCGCTCTGGCGGCCCGCGAAAGTCACCGCGTAAGTAGGAGGCCACATGCTAACCCTACCCCTACCCCCAACGATTTCTGAGGGGGAGGGTGGGGTTCACTTCGCCCGTTCGGGAGCCCCCGAGCGAAGTGAACCCCACCCTCCCCCTCAGAAATCGTGTGGGGTAGGGGTAGGGTTCGCATGTGGCCCCCAGTAAGGTCGCCATGACATCCGGCGGAAGACCCTCCTCGTGTCGTCGCTGAAGTGTTCAGGTCTTTCGTTCTCCTGCTGTCCCGCCGACCGCTTTCTGCACGGCTCACAGGCACGGGCATCATGGTGCGCGTGCGTCTGCGGGTGCAGCAGAGCCACCTCGACAGCCTCGCCGCGATAGCTGCGCCGGGCTTAGGAGCACCGCGGGCAGTAAGTCGCAGAAGAACGAACGCTGGAGGGCCAATGTGTCGGGCCTATGCCACACACCGCCGTCGTTTTCTAGCCACACGCGTGTATGGGCACGTTGGGTGTCGCCACGTGTGTTAGAGGCAGTCGGGGTGGATGCGTCTGCAGACAACGCGGCCGTGGCGGCGTGCGGCGCCGCTCAAGGTCGGAGACAGGGCAGATCCATCTGCGGTGTGGCGTGCTCTGTTCTAGAGCAGGTCCCACAGGGTGCTCCAGAAGCAGTGGCATAAGCATAACAGCTTCCTGAGCTCCGCGCGGGTTTCTCGCATCGGCACGGTGGCCCCTTGGGCGGCGCCTCCCGTGCCGTCCCTGGCGCGCTACTGCGCGCCAGATAAGGAGGGGGGTCCAGCGCCGATGCGAGACCTCCGCGCGGACCTCCGACAGCTTCTACTTATGCAGCGGTCTTCTTGTAGTACGGAGGGCCCAGAGGTTGGTGGCGCGAGGGGAGCGGAGGGGGGTGCGGGGGGAGGGCGGAACGGGAAGGGGACCGGACGGGGCGGAGCCCGCCAAGGCCACGGTGGAGGTGAAGGCCGGTTTGGCGAATGGAGCGCGAGGGCAATCGCTGGGGTGGGCGCGGGGGTTGCTAAGAAAGTAGGGGGGTTATCAGTGGATGCCATGGTGGGTTATATCTAGCCTAACCTAGCTCATTAGTGGGTTGCTAATGCCCCAGGTGGCTTGTTTGGGATAGCGACCCAGACCAAGTGGAATCCGCCCAAATCCCCCTAAGCCTTTTGTAGCATGTATGAGCTATGTTAGGCCAGGCATATCCCCTTCGGCGTCTACGGATAGTCCCTATATTCCCTTAGCTACACCCGCGCCCATCCCAGAAGGAACATGAGGAGAGGGCAGGGGGCGCTGGCGGAGAAGGGGCAGAGGGAGGACGAGCGGAGAGACGAGGGCGGAAGCGGAGGGGGAGTGAGGAGGACGCGGGCGGGGACGGGGACAAGGGGGGGGGAGGGGGGCAGGCAGGTGGTGGAGGAGGAGGAGGAGGAGGAGGAGGGGGGGGAGGAGGAGGAGGAGGGGGAAAGTAGTTGGGGGAAGAGGGGTCGGCGGAGGACCAGAGAGAAACCCAGGGTGCACCAGGGATGCTGCAACACATCCTCTCGTCCAAAGCCTCCTGATCATCGGCCCCCTGCGCGCATCCCCTCCCGCTGCAGTCGGGCCAGACGAAAAGGGCAGGAGAGGGAAAGGGGGACTACGAGATCTGCCGCATGCAGCTGCTTTCGGCCCCGCCGCTGGGCCCCCTCCTCGATGCATGCGCGCGCCTCCCGGCGCCAGGAGGCGCCAGGAAAGCTAATTGCGTGAGTTGATGTCCTGCCCTACCCGTAAGTCGGGCGTG